GAATACAGAGAAAGAAGCCCTGGAAAGAGTTGGCATCTAAGGAGAGGTGAGCAGAGTGGAGATGAGGAAAGAGTCACCAGTGAGCTTTGCAGTCACCACAAGCCTCATCACAGTAGCTGCTGAATACATGTTCATGTGAACTAATGTCTGACAGCAAAACCCGCAAAAGCTGGAACCTGTGTCAGACAGACACCTGCCAGAGAAGGAAAACTCCAATTTTATTTCCACTAAAAACAAGCCACAGAAAAGTGGTAAAACTGCACACTGTTAAAGGCAGAAAACCCGCTGAGTTCCAGCTCTCACAGGTCTCGCTGTATAAGATGGGAAGCCATGATGATTGAAAGGCACGAGTGGCTTAATAGAAAATGAGTGATCTGGTTCCAAGACAAAGGTTCACAGAGTGAAACACGGCCACACTGTTCATCTTTATCACTGTAGGCGCTGTGTCTGACCGCTTCCGAGGAGCAATCCCGGAAGTAGAAATGCTATGTCACGGAACAGCCACACTGTACATATACCTGTTCCACCCCATTGTGAGTCCACAAAAGGAAAAGAACAGACTAAAGATAGTATTAGATATGAGACAGATTAGCTGAAAGGAACTAAACGTGGGCCAAACACGTAAATCTTAAAAACCGCCTTACTTGAAATATGGTTTTGAAGTAACCTTTTTTTTTGGGGGGGGGGTCAAACCACCCACACATCCGTGAGATCACCGCTACCGCTCAAATGCCTCTTAGGAACACTTACCTAAAATGTAGGCAGCCACTAATTTCTGATTCACAGTTAAGTGGAGGTAGAGAGGCACCAGCGATTCCACATCCCCCAATGTAGGAAGCATCAGGGCCGCAATGCACACCACTCCCAGGAAGACAGTTAATAAACTAGGGCCTGAAGAGACAGTCCTGTTCTCTGTGAAAATACAAACATCCCTGAGCTTGCTTCTCCAAACAATTTAAGGCAAAAGGCGGTTCACATATGCTGTCCACCACTCACCAGGATTCTGGTTTTCTCTCTTCTCTCACCCCTTCCCATTCACCTCCATTCCATGGGGTTATGTGCTGAGCTGACCAGGAAGCCCATAACTCAACTGCCCCGTCATTACAGGCTGGAATGTTGAAATGGCATGGGAAGGTAGTGAGTCCCCACTGAAGAGAACAGTGGTCACCCCCCACACACACCCTAATCAGTACAAAGTGTTCAAGCATGTAGTTGACGTATACATATATCAATTCTATACATGGCTACTGTACTATTATGCAGCTTCATACAAAACACACAAATATAATCGTAAAATATACAAAAAAGAAATACCAACTGAAATTCTGACTATTTTCTTCCTCTACTCCCAATGGAGGAGCTCTGGTGGTGCAGTGGTTAAGGCAGTCTGCTGCTACTCAGAAGGTCGGTGGGTCAAACCCACCAGCTGCTCTGTGGGAGAAAGATGAGGCATCTGTTTCCATAAAGATTTACAGCCTTAGAAACCCTTTGAGGCAGTTCTTCTCTTTCCTATAGGGTAGCTATGTGTCACAATCGACTCGATGGCAGTGGGTTTGGGTACCCCAATGGATTGCTGGTGCATACCCCATTTCAGACATCACCACACTAGAGCTCCACTACCTTCTAGAAGTATCTTAGATGGGTCTCCAGGAAGGTTCGGCTCCATTTATGAAAATGTTAAGGCACCAGAAAGATACCATTTGAGGGCTATAAAGCTGCTGTGCAAATTCTTGCTGTCCACTCTACCCCATTAATAGTCACGAAGTTAAGAAGCAGCAGAAAACCTCAATAACAAAAAGACAAACAATCCAATTAAAAAATGGGCAGAAGACATGAATAGACCCTTCACCAAGGAGGATATTCAAGCGGCCAACAAACATATGAAGAAATGCTCACGATCATTAGCTATTAGAGAGATGCAAATCAAAACAACAATG